GAGGAGTAAAATGGATTGATATCTCAAAAGCAATCCTTCACATGACAAAAAAAATAACCCTTGATTTGAATATCCTCTAATTCCAAAATAAAATTATTAAAAAATAATAATCTTCCTCTTAATCTCTTTTGGTCGATCATTTTATCTACTCACTGAAGAAAGTCTATACCCTTTATCTTAATCTAAGTCATGAAATTAAATTTGCTTTGTCTTTTGCTTTTTCCTCCTATCAATGCAAGAGAACCTCTTTCGATAGCATGGGATAAAATGTAAACACTTGATTCTAGCCAGTATTACATAATCTCTTCAAAACAAATTGTTTTACTAAGATTAACATTACCATAAGAAATATAGGAGGTAACTTGGAACATGTAGCAAAGTTACATATTACTAGTGAAAGTAACATGAAACAAGTAACAAGCAGCAAAATGAAGGTGACCTTGGAACAAGTGCCAAGGTTCTTGTGTTAATTTTATTTTTAAGATGTTTTTGAGAGTTTTGATAGGGGTGGTTCAAACATGAACATAATTAAGAAACCTTCTTCCTAATCTTCTCTGAGTTACATGGGTGTTTCCCCTTTCCTCCTCTTTTAATATAGGTGATCACTTCTACACATGTTGTCACAAAACTCAAATTAACTACTATTACCCTTGAACATTTATTAGTCGAGGCTGTAATGTTCTATGAGTTGACATCTTCAAATTGGTTGCATTGAATACACCCCTACAAAACTATCCCATTAACTCGGGATTTAATTCTCCTTTCTCACATAGTTCCTTTCTCTATTTAAGAGCTCCCTTGAACTAGCCTTTCCCTTGCTTTACTTGCCTGCAATTTGACACAATCCAGAAAATAAAATGTAAGAGATAATGTGTAAAAAATTTGAGTAATATTCAAGCAAAGTCTCAAGTCAGTTCAAAGTTCGCAGTTTTATTAAAATGTGCAATCAAAAATATAAAATATTATTAAATCATGCCATCCCTTGAGACTTTTGCTTGTTTCTGTCAGATTAGTACAATGCTGTTTTTCCCTGCCTTCAGCATCAAATTAACCAAGCTAAGCTACAATAATCTTGGACCAGAAGAGAAAGGGGAGCCTACAAAGGAGAGAGCATGGATCACGGACCTGTTTTTCCCAATTTATGCAACTTGTTACAGTTGCAAGCAAAACTGTTTGGGTAAAAGCACCGGACTGAATACCAATCCACAGGCCCAGCCCTCTCAACTTCAGCCAGAAAGCAAGGGTCGCAGCTACAGGAATTCCACAAAGATAAAATGCTCCCAGGTTGATATAAGCTCCTATATGCTGCCATCCACATCCCCTTGCAACACCTAGTTCGATTAAGTATTTGCAAGACTACAATATCATTGATCGTTTCTGGAAGAGACATTATCCACTAAAAGTGAAAGATAGGAAGAAGTTTAACCTGAAAGGACCCCTTGTAAGCTGTCAAGAATAACAGACACACAAACCAAAGGAGCCATGGTTGTGACATAATCCACGACTTCCTTCTCATTGCTGTAAACATAACCGAAAACATGTCGGCTGGCGAACAGGGTCCCACTGACTACAAGGGCTTCTAAAACTGCAAGAACCATCCCAGCATACACAGCTACACGCGCCGCTTGGGGATTCCCTGCCCCTAGTTCATTTGAAACTCTAGTACTATACAAATAGACATCGCTTGTCAATCAATTTGGCACGAAACAGCTGCAGTTTCATCCAGTAAAACATTCATAATATATAATAACAC